TTGCTATTATGCCCCCTCAGGCATCTTTTTTTCAAGACTAAACATACTGAGTTTCCTCTGTAGCCATCCCTGGTGGTGTTACTTTCATTTTTTATGTTTAAAAGTTAATGTTCAGAACCAGAAAAAACAAACTTCTATCTATATTTATATCGTTGGTTTTCTTACAAGCTGGATTCTCATGACAGTGATTGTAAATTATCCTCTTTATTGGCTAACAGCAGCTTTTGAAATTCCTTTAATCTCTTGGAGAGAAAAAAGAATTATGCACATAGTTTTGAACTCCTATTTGCTTTTGTTTACTATTGCCTGCTTATTGCACATTTCTTGTTCTTGAAATTAGCCAAATGTGATTACATCCCATGGTGCCTCTTTGCCTTAGAGAAAGCATTTTTGTTCCTTCCATGCTGCAACCTTTCCTTTCATTCTCTATATTTTCTTCTACATTTAAGAGCAGCTTTTGGAGGAAGGATTTGGGGATAATAGAAAAAATTAAGCATTAAGCACTATCCCTTGTATTTTTTGCAAATATAAAGTCACTGTTGGATACAACACACATACTATTTAAGTTCTTTCCTTTTAGTTCCTAATTTTAAAAAAAATGAATTACTGGCATTATTAATGAACTAGATATAAAGGGAAGGGAAGAGACAGAGACATCTGAATTATAGAAACACAGCAAGAATAATTTTTTTTATTATAGCCAGCAATATGAGTAGAGGATTTGATTGACATTTATTAGTAACTGATTCCCACTTCTTTATTTTTGTTATAAACATTAGAATCGCAATGCTTCAATATTCAAGATTTTCACTGAAATATAGCTACTAGAATAGAGTTTTGCCATATATTTCATGAAGATTAAATTTGAATCAAAATGTTTCATGGTTCCCTATCATTACACATTTGGCAAATATAATATATTGAGTATTTTGCAGTGTAATATCTAAACGTATTTCAATTTAGTCACAAGAGTTGAATGAAGGGTTGTATCTTAAACTTGCTGTGACATACAGCTTTCTTCTGTGCTCAACGATGTAGTTCTTATTCTCAGTGGCTAAATAAACTCAGTAAATCAGAATGTTATGTGTTCTTAATATTAAAATGATAACATCTATACCTTATTTAATAATGTATGAAAATAAATTTTGAAAAATAATAAATAAGGGTCAGTGTAAAGATTGCACAAAACAGATTCCAGGAAATTCAGAATCATATTCAAATGCAGAATGCAAAATATATTTATGCAAAATGATGGGTGCCTTCTTTCATTCCTTCAGTACAAGAAGCGGTTATCAAGAAAACAACATGGATGTTTTTGAAATCACCAGCTTCTCTTTACACATACAATACTGTGCAAAAGTTGTAGGCAGGTGTAAAAAGTGCTGTAAACAAAGAATGCTTTCAGAAATATAAATAATGATTGTTTATTTTTGCAAATTTTCAAAATGCAAAGTGAGAGAACAAAATAAAAATCTAAATCAAATCAATATTTGGTGTAACCACCCTTTGCCTTCAAAATAGCAGCAATTCTTCTACCACCACTATCACCTCCTGGTCCTTCAAGGTTCAATGGTATATTCTATTTTTAATTCATATATGCCAGCCATATTAGAAACTTATTTCCTCAGACTGTGATGAACTGGATTGCCTAGTCCAGTGATGGCAACCCTTTTTCTTATGGCGTGCCAAATTGTGTGCCCATGTGCTGTCATTCGCTCATGCGTGCCCACACCAATTGAATCCTCCCTGCCCACCTGCGCATGCACACGCGACCCTCCCCAGGCTCCAGAGGCTTTCTTGAAGCTTGGAGAGGGCGAAAACAGCCTCCCCCGCTTCCCCGGAAGATCTCCAAAAGCAGGAAACGGATCGTTTCCAAACTTCTGGTTGGCCCATTGGGGCTGTTTTTTGCCCTCCCCAGGCTTCAAAAAAGCCTCCGGAGACTGGGTAGGCAAAAAACTGCCCCAACAACGCCTGTTTTTCACCCTCCCCAGCTTCCGGAGTTTTTCCTGAAGCTTGGGGAAGGTGAAAACAGCCTTCCCCGGCCTTCTGGAAGGCTGAAAATCAGCTGGCGTGCCAGCAAATATGGCTCCGTGTGCCACCTGTAGCACGTATGCCATAGGTTCGCCATCACAGGCCTAGTCTTTATTACACCAACACATCATGATCACAAGATAATTTTCAAAAAGAGATTCCATTTCTCTGACTGTCATTCTCTCTTTATGTTTTATTGATTTAATTGTAATTCCTTTGTTGTGGACCACCAAGAGTCAGACATACAAATTCAATAAATTATTACTATGTTTGATTGCACAGTCAGTTAGGTGTTCAGACTGAATTTGACATTTGTATCCCTCTATCTTCCTTGCCAAGGACCTGGGATAATGGATGATGCTTAATAAAATTAAAAGTACTGTTGAATAATATTAAAAGGCTTTCCAAGTAAAACTCCCTTTTGGAATTGAGTGGTAGTGATTTTGTCAATGCTAATGCTGTTCAAATGGTCTTCCAGATGTTTTGAAATTGCACTGAAGGTTCATATCACTATTGATACTCCCTTTGCTATCTTTTGTCATAGCCCTGCAGGTTTTTATATTGTGTGATTTTTTTCTATTTCTTTATCTTCTAACCTACTGTCCCCAGATATTACAGTGTCCAATATTCTTACAGTCAAGTGCTTTTTCTTGAAGATATTCCAGCACACCATTGTTGCTACTTTATCATACTGTTTGGTTGTTGTTATGGTTTGTCACACAGTCAGTCACATATTCATGCTGG